TGTGTATGTATACCTCTGAGCAAATATAACTCTAGAGACTTTTATTGCTAATTTGTGCTTTATCCTCCAATCCCATAAGTCTTTGATAACCTGTCCAGGTTCCAGTGAAAGAGGTTTCTGGATAAAGTGGTACATTAGAGGTCATTCCAAGGTTAAGTGTCTATTGGACAGGGAAAAGCAGAGAAAATACTACTTCATGTGGTTGCTCAAAGCATTTAACTACTGTAGCTCTCAGCCTTGGATCTTCCACCTGAGACTTTGTTGGTGCAACTGGTTCTGAAATCATCCGCAAAACTATCAGATGAAAACCATGTTTAGATAACTAAGCAATGGTGAGAAAGTGAGCCCATTCTTAGGTCAAGGGAGGTAGGGAATCTCTTCTAAGATATGTAGGAGGTATGTAAAAAACTGTAACCAAATCTGTATTCCATGCAATTGGCATTTATAGAAGTTTAGTCCCTCCTGACTAGCCTGGAGGAATGGTTCAAGGGTATTTGTAGCATTGGGTGTTGAGTTTTTCAACAAGAAAGCATTGATTTAAGAATCTTCATCAAAAACTACATTTAAAGATCAATACGTGGCACCAAAGATCTAGAAATGACTATGATGTTTCTCTAAGTTGAATAACTCAAGACATCATTTTCATAGACTCAAGATCTAGGCCTTTCTTCTCTCAGTGTTTGCCAGTTTCTCAAATGCTAGCTCAAAAGATGCCCATTGTTCATTTTCACCCATCCAATAACTATAAAGTAAAATAAATGCTATACTAAGAAAAGGGTTTTTCCTCAAATTTATTATCAGATGTGCTTTTGACTTGTTTTGATAGATCTCTTACTGGTGAAACACTGGCTTACACAAAGAACTCAAGACCATCATCTCACATAACATTGCTGTGGAAATGTACTCTCTTAATTGCTGTGTTTAACAGCACCTATAATTTTCTTTTTGAGGCATTTAAATTAAAATATTCCACTCATGTGATAAAAATCAGATTGAGAAATATTGTCTTGGTTATATAGAAAAGCTTAGAATTTGGGTTTCAGAAGCAATCAACATTGCTTTTAGGTAGCCCATTTTCTATTCCTTTTTTCCCTCAAGCCTCAGTTTCCCAAAATAGATACCATTCAAAATTTACACTTGAAAAATGCTTCAATAAAGTCAAATAGACTGCATATTCAAAAGAAAGAGAGAAATAAACATGAATTCTACCCAGACCAGACACAAAAGTTGTTTACATTGAAGATCATCTTATAGACTGAAATAAGCAAATACTGATAGTTTTTAAACGAACTGAAAGACATTGTGAAAATGTTGTTTCTGGTTTTAGATGTAAAAGTCTGGCACAGTTAAAGAAGAGGAAAATCACTTTCTCTAACATTAAACATGGATTCAGTTGAAATGAATTATGTTTATTCCACTAGCTAAAAGAAAACTTGGAATTTGTTCCCCTTTGAGAAGGAGGCCCATGCTTGTTTCCAGAATCATGTGAGATCTCTTTCAAAGCAAAGTGGGCACTTACTAATTGTGCTGAATTTGTAATTTGTAAGATATTTAGTCAGCAAAATGTCACCGTAGAGGCTTTTAGTGCTCTTTAGACAAAACATGAAAAATACCAAGCAACTTTAGCACAGAGTTTGAGACAATTCATTTTTGTAGAAAAACAAAATCACAACCGTACATCATTTCCTAAAGATCTTACCCGGAGAACAGCCAGGGGAAACTTCTCTAAGGCTTTGGCATCCTTGTATTCCTATTTTACAGGGAAATACAGTTCATGTATAAATGCTCCATGTAGGATTTTTTGGTATGGTTTTAATTGAATAGCATCAAAGTTTGTATTCACTCATCACACTTCCATTACTGCACAAACCCTAGCTTTTGTGATACTGGTTTCATCTCAGTCGTTTTGAATTTGGATAAACAAGGAGAATGGCATTATACCAATATATGTTTGTCACACAAATAGTAACTTCATCAGGAAAATACTGAGCCTCTGTCAACAGTTCCATCTTCTAGTCACACAGAGAAAACACAAAGGGTATCAGGAGATGTACAGTAAACTTTTGCAAATCTGAGGAGTGACTTTAATGGGCTTCAGAAGAAGAGACTTAAGTACATATACTTCAATGGCATAGGACTTTCTCTCTCACTAGTTAACTTCTAAAAACCAGGGTACTTTGCATTATAATGATTACAGATTGGTTTTATTAATCCTAAATTTCAGGCTTTGGAGCTCAATAAATAATTCCTATAGAAAGGATAGACTTTGGGGTTACCAGGTATATGCCACATTTTATAGTAACCCAATATTGCTGGCAACTCACAGGCCCCTGGAGATGTAATACCACAGGTGGCTGCAAGGTAACATGGTAGAAAAGTCGGGATTTCAACGAGATGATACCCTAAGAGTGCAGTGATTTAGCCAGGTGCGGTGGCGCATGTCTGGCGCATGGGAGGCTGAGAGAGTAGGATCCTGAGTTCAAAGCCAGCCTCAGCAAAAGTGAGGCTTTAAGCAACCCAGTGAGACCCTGTCTCTAAATGAAATACAAAGTAGGGACGGGGATGTGGCTCAGTGGTCGAGTGCTCCTGAGTTTAATCCCAATCCTGGGTACCAAAAAAAAAAAAAAAGACTGTAGTGACTCTGGTACATTCAACAGAAGAAATCCACATGCCTTACCAGTATACATCCCTGTAACCTTCCAGAGAGAGCACATGTATGTTTACAAATGATGTTAATATCATCAAATAATGTTGAATAATAATAGCAACTCATGTGTATGCAGTGTTTTTCAAAATGTATGTACTTATATACATAAAAGTAATAAAATACACTTAACAAAATTTACTCTCTTACCCATCTTGAAGTATACAGTTAGTGGCATTAAGAGCATTTACATTGTTCTACCACCTCACCACCCACCATCCATCTCCAGAACTTTTTCATCTTCCCATATTGAAACTCTGTACCCATTAAACAGCAACTCATCATGCCTTGTCCCCCAGCCCCTGGTGAGCATCATTCTATTTTCTTAGTCTATGAATGTGGCCACTCTAGCCACCTCATATGAGGGGAATCACATAGTATGTGACTGATATGTCTGGCTTTCTGGCTTACTTCCCTTAGCATAATGTCTTCAAGGTCCATTCCTGATGTAGCATGGGCCAGAATCTCTACTCCTGCTGCTGCTGCTGCTGCTGCTGCTCCTGCTCCTCCTCCTCCTCCACTTCCTCCTCCTCCTCCTTTTTTGGTACTTAGAGTAAATCCAGGAGTGCTCAACCTCTGAACCACATCCCCAGCCCTTTTTCACTTAGGGCCTTTACCTTAGGCTTAGGGCCTCACTAAATTGCTAAAGCTGACTTGAACTTTCAATCCTCCTGCCTCAGTCTCCCACACTGCTGGGATCACAGGTATGTGAAACTATATCCAGCAATCCAGCATCTCCTTCCTCTTTAAAGACTTAGTAATAGTCCATTGAATATATATGCTATATTCTGTTTATGCATTCATCTATTCATGAATATTTGGGTTGCTTCCACCTTATTTGCTTATTGTATATTAACACTTTTAATCTTCACAAGGATTCAGCATTATAGCTGCCTTTATTGTCCCTATTTTATAAGAAAACAAGAATAAAGAGGTTTTGTAGGTACCCAAGTTTAGGCAACTAGGAGGCTCTGGAGCCCATATAACCCCTGGCCCACCCCAGGCTGAGTTGCTCCTCGGTTCGTATTTTCCCACCTCCCCTTCAAATGATTTAGGAATCTAAATGAACCAAGTATCAGTTAGAAAACCATTTATACAAAATTGTAAGCCAAGTTTCTGATTTTATTTGTATAGGTCTTAAATATCCAAGGAGAAGTCAATTAACAACTCAGCCCTATATAAACTATCTTATAAAGCAGTCCATTACTGCAAAATAAAAAATCAATCCCTTACTCTGGGACTAGTTGGGGGCTAAGTTCATTTAGCTAGTTCTCCTACATAGGGTCTGGGTACATGTACTGGCATGCTTATAATATCATCCCCATTTTATCAAAAGTAAAATTGAGGCAAAGGGTGTTGGTAAGTTACTTGGTTCAAGGACACATAATAAAAAACAGAATCCATACCCAAACTGAGTTTCTAGCTCCAGAACTTGTTCTAATTAGCTGTAGCACAAATGCTATCATTTTCTCATCTCTATGAGAAATATTAAGTGCAACATTGAGACCTGTGTATAATAATAATTATCCTTACAGCAGATGCAGATTTTTCTAGGAAGCCTGTAAATAACAAGCAGTCCCTGCAATTTTAAAATTATCTCATATGATCATTCCATTTAACAATCTGAAAAGAATAAATTGCTTCATAAAAAGAGTCTTGAAGAACATATGGTTAGATTTTGGAAAGCAGTGCAGGTATGCACATGTCAAGCTTCTCAAAGCAGGAATACCTGTAGAGCAGATGCTTCTCACAGAGAAAGAATAAATGCATGCACCCAGGGCAAAATTGTGACTTCAGTGTAATCAATCTTCCTTTAGCCCAGATTGCAATTTATGGCTTTCTTTTTCATTTGCTTCCTTAGTGCAATCTCTTGTCCTCTTCTTTTATAGCCCAGGATATTTGAATATTCCTCCCCTCAAACATAGACACATTATTAAATTGTTAAGAATGGGATACAGAGCTGGGCACAGTAGCCTATGCCTCGGGAGGCTGAGGCAGGAGGATCAGGAGTTCAAAGTCAGCCTCTGCAACTTAGCGAGGCCCTAAGCAACTCAGTGAGACCCTGTCTCTAAATAAAATACCAAAAAATAAAGTGGGAGGGGGGCGGCTGGGGATGTGGCTCAGTGGTTAAGTGACCCTGAGGCTCAATCCCAGGTACTAAGAAAAAAAAAAATTGGATACTGGTTTTTACTTCCAGTATGGCCACTACTACAGACATGCAGCCACCCACATTTCAGGATGCGTGTTTCTGGGTTCCATGCGGACAAGATGCTGACCATCCTCTCATTTCTGGCAGAGCTCCAGGGCAGCACGCTCCGAGGAGGACCGCGATGGCCTATGGGACGCCTGGGGCCCGTGGAGTGAGTGCTCACGCACCTGCGGTGGAGGGGCCTCCTACTCCCTGAGACGCTGCCTCAGCAGCAAGTAAGTCCTTTACCCACTAAGGGCTCGGTGAGAACCAGGGGTAGCCCATTGAAGGCACATTTTTGTGGTCGGGATGACACAGAGCGTTTTTGTTGCTCACAAGTCTAGATGAATGGAAGGAAGTGCAAAGAATTAAATTTGAGATTCTTTCTTATGTTCCTCTCCAGCTGAGTATCTATACACTCTTCTGTGATGAGCAATATGCAGTTTATCTCATTTGCCAAGGAAATCTTGTGGTTTTCCTGTTAGAATTGGAAGGAACACTTATTATTTGAAATGGTTCTAGAATCATTAGCTCCATAATGTACTGTATTTTTTTTCATCCTTTTAACAATCAAGGTGACAATGGTAGCATTAATATTGGCATTATTAACAAACTGAATGTACGTTATTACCTGGTACTTTGCAAATGAATGATATATTGGTTTAGTTTTATAAATGTTCTACCAGAAGTTAATCAGTTCAACGAATGGAGGGAAAACAGCAATGTCAGTAGAAATTACAGCATGAAGACAAAGGCAGAAAGAAGACGGCTGGACATACTACTGGCTTCTAAGTTGAAAGGAAAAGGCCTGAGCCTTAGAATGGAAATGTTTTGCTAACAGTAATAATAATTTGAAACTGCTTCTTGAGCAGTGTGGTCTATGACTAGGTTTGTTTCCAAACTATAAAATACAAAGTGCCATGGTAATATTTTTTTTAATGCAATACTTTATTTGACAGTGAAAAGTGTTAAAGGCAGCAAGAAGGAGGCTTGATCAAAATCACTGTTATAAAAACATGAAACAGAAGAAAAAATGCATCTGCTGATTCTCCTAGACTTTCTATACACAAACAGCAGAAAGCAGTTCAGGAAGATGTCAACTGATTTTAATAACAATGGGAATTTCTTCAGATCAGGGTCTGAGTTTTCCTCTTTTCTGTTTCTCTGCACAGGGTCTGCAGAGTCTAACAGATATGAGAAGCTTAATAGAGGGTTCTTCAATGAACCTGTTGAGAGCTAGAAATCATTTTGGTTCCAAACAGTTCGCATTGTAAATGTACCTTGAGAAATGCGACCAAAAGACTTATCCTGCAAGATACCAGATCAGTTCTGGTATTAGGTCTGTTGGATTGTCTCCACTGAAAAGTTTGTTTTGTCTTTTTTGATACCAGCTTCATATCAACTAGGCTTTTGAATTGATAAAGAGAGGTTAGATAATTCTTCCCTATGACTCATTTGTTTTCTTAATCCTGAGCATAAAAACTTCCTAAATCTGCAATATGTAATGCTACATGAGATAATGTAACTGATAATAATCATACAAGTGTTCAAATTTGGAATGTTTCTGCTGTCTAGTTTTCTCAAATTAGCATCCATGAATATTCTGTAGGAATGAGTCAAAACGTGTGTCACAGAACTACTAAGAAATGTGCAAAAAGTTTCATATTGTCTCAGTAATATGAATAATACGTTGTGTTAGAATCTTTCACTGAGACATCAAAAATCAGTTTAAGAATTTATCTAGGGCTGGGCACGTGGCTCAAGCGGTAGCGCACTCGCCTGGCATGCAGGCGGTTCGGGTTCGGTCCTCAGCACCACATACCAACAAAGATGTTGTGTCCGCCGAAAACTTAAAAATAAATGTTAAAAAAATTCTCTCTCTCTCTCTCTCTCTCTCTCTCTCTCTCTTTCTCTCTCTCTCTCTCTCAAAAATTAATAAATAAAAAAGAATTAAGCTAAAAATCACAAGTAAAATTCTATCATTCCACAAATAATAAAATATTGATGCTATGTGAGAATCAGAAATAACAAATTTTGCCACCTAGTAAATTAAGCTCTAGTTGTTAGGATTTTATGAAAATACCATAGAAGATATCAGCTTCCTATGTTCATAATGTATTCCAAATATATTATAATGTATTGAGCAAGTAGAATTTAAATTCTTAAATTATATACACATAGAGGATATGTCTCATTTTATTTTTAAATATGAGAAAATGTATTCAGTAAACTCATACTAAACTGCACAAGAAATAAAAAGAAAAGAGTGGAATTCCCATTCTTTAAGATTTTGAAGAAGAAAAAATCTGCCAAATAGATGACATTTCCAAATTTAGCAAGAATATAAAGAACTATTAATGTGTGTCTTTATTTCCAGACAGCTGGTACTTAATGTGGACCAATACATTACACACATGGATACTTTCATACTCTTAAAAGAATTCTAGTCATTCTTTAGCAAATTACAACTTGTTACCATCATTAAACTCTGGAGCAATCTCCAGAGAAGAATTTCTTTTTTTTAATCATGAAGGGACTGTTTGTATGTGCTTTATTGCATATTTCAATGCCATTGCTCAGTAGGGTTTATGTTGATAGGTTTAGGCTGAGCTGTGCTGATTTCAATATTCTTTAGAACAATGACATATAGGTTGACTCAGCCATTCAGTCCATGATTATACTGGGCTTTCTGCAAACATCATTCCAAGATAAGACTTCATTAGTTCATTATACCCTAATGACAAATCTCACAGCTACAGGTTTTAAAATGAGCAAAACCAAGACTGAGTTATTGCCTCTGTAGCAATTCTAGAAAATCTGCATCTACAAGACAATTAAAAGATTTACAGTGATTACATAAATGCCCTTGTGATAATACTATGTAAGTATGTTGTGCAATTAAATGTTCAGAGATGTTGCAATGCTGACTTTTAGAATAACTTGGCTCTTATGTAGTATATTCTTATTTTTAGAATGCACTTGATAATTTAGCAACAAAATGTGCTATCCTTAGACAACTTGGATAGTTTCAGCTATAATTCAAGAAGCTTGTGTGTGTTGTATTTTCAAAATGAGGCATGCATATATACATACAAATATATACACTGTGCACATGTGTGCGTGTGTATGTGTGAGTGTTGGGCCATGATAGAAAATATGTATCATTTTTTCTCAGCACAGTGGCTCACACTTGTAATCCCAGCAGCTTGGGAGACTGAGATGGGAGGATCAAGAGGCCAAAGCCAGCCTTGGCAACCTCGAGGTGCTAAGCAACTCAGTAAGACCCTGTCTGTAAATAAAAAATATAAAATAGGGCTGGGGATTGTGGTTCAATGGTTGAGTGCCCCTGAGTTCAATCCCCAGTACTCCCCAAAAAAAAGAAAAAAAAAGAAATAAAAGAAAAATGTATCATTTTTTAAATGTCTGAAACCTGCTGTTGCAGAGAACTCACTCTTATAGGAGCTCTCTGTGAACACTGGTCAGGCCCACTCACCCAGAAACAGCCCTACACAATAAAAATTCAGTTTTCTTTGCTGTGGAATTTTTATATTTGAAATCAGAGATTCCCAAATGTTTGTGTGTTTCCTTGGCGTGCGCGCTCATGTACGCACGTTCTCTCTCTCTCTCTCTCTCTCTCTCTCTCTCTCTCTCTCTGTCTGATATTTCATATCAATTCACAGGTTTTGTAAATAGAATTTTCACCTCTGTATTTTCTTTGTTTATGTGAAATGAACATGTGGAACAAGTCTCATTTGGTACCTATAGATAATCAAATATTCATTTGGCATGAATTCTAGTCTTCAGCCTAATTAGTTTAAATGCTTCTACTCATGGTCTTAGGAGGAAATGTAATAATCTTCATCATCTCCTAAGTTGTCAAGCCCCTAAGAAGCTATTTGTTTTCTTGGTATTTTTCTGGCAGTCACAATCTTCTTCCACTATAACAGCAATTCCTGGGGTTCCAGCCTCATGTTCCAAAAAAAGTTAAGCTTTCAGAAGTCAGTTTGTGGAGAGAGCTAGCATCAAACTTTTCAGTTACATTATTTTATTACAAAATTTAATTTTCCTTAAAATATATAATTCTAAGCAGTGAGAAAGATGAAAAATAAGTATGCGTGTAAAACAAAATGAAAAACATTCTAGTATTTTCTTGTTAATACTTAACTGTAATTAAAACATTGCTTAAATATGGCCCTAGATCTATCCCTCTATTGGATTTAGAACATATTTGACTCTTGTACTTTAGAAATAGATATGTTCTGAGGTCTGTGTTCAGCTTCAAGACTTAAAACCAATTTGATACAAAAGTTTTCTAATTTCTTTCCCAGTAACCAGTACCATCGATTTTACAGTCTTATTTTTCCTAGATCCTTAGTGCTAATGGAAGCTCTTAATTGCTATACCATTTATCTAGTAGCCCAAGACTGTTGCATAACAACTCCTAAACCTCACATTGCTTGGCTAGATGGTTCTGTGATCTTGCATGGGCTCAATCACATATCCACTTACTGCCACTGATCTGGACAGACTTCACCTGAGCCAACATGGGAAACTGGGTTCTGCTCCATTTGTTCCTCATCCTCCACAAGTTAGCCTAGGCCAGTTCTGCTGGTGATACAAGAGGTGCAAGAGAGAGCAATTCCCAATGCCCATTCCAAGCTTGTTTGTGGATATTCTATTGGCTAAACTAAGCCACTGGTCAATCAGTGAATGGGAAAGCAAACATGTTACGTGAAAAACTAGGAGACACAGGGAAAGTAAAGAATTGAAATGATTATTATAGTTTGCTTGAATGATCTTCTATTGTTTTCTTATTCATTTTTAAATGGGCTTAATGAAAATAATGTGTTCTCTCTTATCTCTCCATTCCAGATTTAGACATCTGAATTTAATTCATTTACCTTACACCTTTGGGAATGATCAGAGGTTATGAATATATGTATCCCTAGAGGCTCAGCAATTAATTACAATGTGCATGGTAGTCTAATAGTAAGCATTCAAATTCAGTCCAACTAAATCCCATCCATCTGCAAATTAACCTGCCAGGTCAATTTTCCAGTCCTGGTCATATGATCTCTTAGGTCACTCTCCCATATGATTTCTTTTTTTTCCTTTTCTTTTTCTTTCTTTCTTTCTTTTTTTTTTTTTTTTTTTTTGTACTTGAGGATGGACAGCATGCCTTGATTTTATTTACTTATTTTTATGTGGTGCTAAGGATCGAACCCAGTGCTTCATA